GTTGCACCACAGCACTCGTCTGGAAATGTGTCCTTGGAGTTTGTGTTGGGCCTGGAACTGCTCTGCCCTGCAGTGTAGAGTTGGGGGTAGGTGGAGTAGAAAGGAGACTTTCCAGTTACCCTGTGAATAGGCTCAGCCACTCAGGGCAGGGCCTTAAAGTGAGGGCAGTGTTTGGTTGTGCAGGTTGTCTTTGGACCCCAGAAGTGCAGCAGTTAAAGTCCCCCTGACTTTGCTAACTCATTTCTTTGCAGTGTCAGAGGGACTGGATGTAAAGCACAGATAAACAGAAGAGGCCAAAGGGGACAGACACGGCTCGGAGTGACCCTGAAAAGCCCCGGATTGGCAGCGAGGTCCCTTCCCCCCCGAGTGTGGGGGACACCTTACAATTAAATGGAGTTTTCCGGTGTCGTGGGGTCAGTGGGGCACACGTGGGTGGAAGGGCTGAGGGTCTTTTCTTCCTCAAAGAAGAACCCTGACCCAATTCCATCCCTGTGCATCCCCAGTTCCCATCCCAGTGCCTCCCACGTGCCCTCAATCCCTCCCCAGGGAGAGACCCCCTGCAACTCAGTGCTCTCAGTCCCATCCCAGGCCTTCCCCCGTGCCCCTGGTCCTTCCCAAGTGCCCTCAATCCCATCCCAGTCCCTCCCCAGTGCAACCCAGTCCCATCTCAGGCCTTCCCCAGTGCCCCCGGTCCCTCCCAAGTGCTCTGAATCCCAGTCTTGTTTTATTTTATTAAAAATAAAATCAAAATGAATTCATAAAATATCTCACTCCTGGTCCCCTCCCAGTTTCACTCCCAGTACCCTCAGTCCCCTCCCCTTCCCCTCCCAGTTCCCATACTGGTCACACTGGAGTTGGTTCCGTTGCTGATTTGACCCTTTGCTGCCAACTGGACAATGGGGTCAAAGGTCACTGGGGGGGGTGTGTCTCAGGAAGTTCCCGGTGATAACTGGGGAGGGGGATCTCAGGGGGCACTGGGGGGTCTCAGAGGATTCCAGGGCACAGGGGGAGGTGGTGAGGGGGGAAGTCTCAGGGGAGTCCCAGGGGTCACCAGAGGGGTCTCGGGGGGTCACAGGGCACACTGGGGGGGTCTCTGGGGGCGTAGTGGAGGCTCCTGGGAGGGTCTCAAGCAGGAAGGGGGGTGGGAGGGGGTCCCAGGGGATATTTGGGATCCTTCAGTGGTTGGGGGGGCTGGGGGGAGGGTGGCCCCTGGGGGGCCCCTGACACCTGCCCCCCCCTTGGGCTGACCTGTCACTTCTGACCCCCCCCGGATCTCTGACCCCCCCCCGGATCTCTGACACCCCCCCTCCCCTCTCCCAGACTACTCAAGACCCTCTTGGACCCCCCGGGGACCTCCCAATTCCCCCTCAGATCGCCGAGTAACCCCTGGGACCCCCATAACTGACCCCCCAAGCCCCCACCTGGGTGAAAAGGTGACTCAGGATCGTTTTGGTCGTCGACATCGTCAGCCCCAAGAGCTTTCTGGGCGGGCATCTTTGGTCTGGGACAAGAAGCAGGCGTTGAGAAGCTCTAGTTTTTATTTCCAAGGAAAACCCTCGAGTCCTGCCCCCTCCTCGCCCCCATGTCCATTCCACAGACTTGTAGGGCTGGAATCCCTCTGACCTACTCCGCACAGAGGTCTGAGGGGTCCTTGTTTTTTAGGCAGCCCCTCTACACCCACCCCTCTACCCCCCCAAACCCCCTTGGGATCACCCAAAAATCCCCCTGACCCTCCTCTCAGGTGTCACCTGTCAGCCAGGGACTCACCTGGGTCTCCCCTGGTGGCCGGGGACTCACCTGGACACCTCTTTCCCCTCCTGGACACCTGGGTCCCCCCCAGGACAGCTGAGTGTTCTCAAAGTCACCTCTGTCACTTGTTTCCTCCTGCACACCTGGGTCCTCCATCACATCTGTCTCCCCCCCTACACCTGCCTGGACCTCCCCAAACTGCCCCAGAGGATCCTCTTTTTTCCTTACCCAAAAACACCCCTTTCTGGGTCCCTCTTTCTCTTGCTTTTCCTCAGCCTTGGGGGTCTGGCTGATGGGGTGGGTTTGGATGGGGGGAGTCGGGAGAGGTCGGGGGGTCTTGGAGGGGGTGGGGAGCACCCTGGGAGCGGTGGGGGAGGGGCAGAGCCACCCCCAGACATTGTGGTGAGGAAACATCGGAACTTCCTCAACGTCGGCAAAGCCACATCCCCGCCCCTCCCCCTCCCCGGGGACACCCAAAAATCGGGGTCACCCAGGGACGGGGCACCTGAACAGCGGGGTGGCCCCCATTGCCCACCCCCTCGCCACAGGATCGGGGACTCCTGAAGTTTGGGGGGCCCTGGGAGCTTGGGGGCTTCCAACATCCCACCAGGATAACCAGGTATGTAGGGAAGATGGGTGAGGGTTAGGGGGGCACTTGGGCCCCTCCCTGGACACCTGGGTCACCCCTGGGCACCTGGACTGCCCCCCAATCCCCTGGGGGTCTCCCCAAACACCTGGGTGAGTCCACCTGGATACCTGGCTCTGCTCCGTGTCCCACCGAGGGCCCGTGGTAAGACCAGGGGAAACTTCCTGGGGCACCTCCTGGCCCACCTGTGTCCCTCCTGACCCCCCCCTGCCCCCTCCCAGGTCGGACCCCTCTCCCGCCCAGGCCCACCCTGCCCCGCCATGCTGGTCCTCACCATCTACATCCTCACCTTTGCCGTGGGGTTCCCGGCCAACGTGTTCACCTTCACCACCCTGGTGGCCAAGGCCCGGCGGCACCGCCCGTCCCCGTCCGACCTGCTGCTGCTCAACCTGACGGCGGCCGACCTGCTGCTGCTGCTCTTCCTGCCCTTCAAGATGGCCGAGGCGGCGGCGGGGATGGTGTGGCCGCTGCCGGCCGCGCTCTGCCCCGTGGCCAACTTCTGCTTCTACTCCAGCATCTACCTGAGCAGCCTGTTCCTGACGGCGCTGAGCGTCCGGCGCTACCTGGGCGTGGCGTTCCCGCTGCGGCTGCGGGGCCGGGGCCGCCTGGGCCGTGTGGCGGCCGCCAGCGCCGTGCTCTGGCTCCTGGCCTGCTCCCACTGCTCCATCGTCTTCATTGCCTCCTACCACGGTGGGGGGCTCGGGGCGGGGCGGCGGGGCGGGCTCGACCCCCACGGGCTCGAGGTTTCCAGTCCCAGGGGCCTCAGCCTTGCTGGCTTCGAGCCCCGTGAGCCAAAGACCCCCGACACCATCGAGCCCAACACCCACGAGCCCAGGACCCCCAACCACAGCCTCTCCAAGGCCCCCAACCCAAAACTCTCCAAGACCCTCCATCCCCATTACTCCACGACCCACCCCAACCTCTCCAAGCCCCCCAAACTCTCCCCCTCCACCCCCCCTGCCCCCTCCGTCCCCTTCAGGTGCTACGACGACTTCTCTGAGGACCAGCTGAGCTTCGTCCTCCCGCTGCGGCTCGAGCTCTTCCTCGTCCTGTTCCTGGTGCCGTTCGGCGTCACCGTGTTCTGCTACGTCGGCTTCGTGCGGGCGCTGCTCGCGCGCCCCAACATCCCGCTGGCGAAGCGCCGGCGCGCCGTGGGCCTGGCCGTGGCCACCATGGTCAACTTCGGGCTCTGCTTCGCCCCCTACAACCTGTCGCACGTGGTGGGCTTCGTGCAGGGCCGCAGCCCGCCCTGGAGGGTCTACGCGACGCTCCTGAGCAGCCTCAACGCCGCCATCGACCCCCTCGTCTTCTACTTCTCGTCCGGCGCCGTGCGGGGGGCCCTGGCGGGGGTGGGGGCGGCGCTGCTGGGTAGGGTGTGGGGGGGGACGGGGGGGAGCCGGGGGGGCGAGGGGGGGCAGCAGACATGAGGGGAGGGGTGGGGGGGAGAGGTGGGGGTGGATGGGGGGGGTCCGAGGGGTTCAGGTGGGGGGGGTGGGGGCGGTGTCCCCATGACATCATCGTTGGGTCACGGCATCATCCCCCTGGCCATGGGATGGGAAGATACTGGTGGTTATGATGTCAGCGGAGGAATGACGTCATCGTGGGGGCGCGGCGTGGTGGGGGCGATGACATCACCGTTGGGTCGTGGCACCATCCCCATGGCCAGGGGATGGGGTGATGACGTCAGCGCTATAAAAGTATAAATCCACCGCTTTATTAAACACATAAAAGCAGAGAAAGAGAAACAAACGATTCGAGGGAACAGTGGGGGGGATGTGTGCCCTGGGGAGGATTGGAACCCTCGGAGGGGCAACGGGAGTGGCCCCACGGCGACAGTCGCGACAGTGGCGGCCCCGCCCCGTCCTGCTGCCATGGCGACGTTCCTCCAGCGCCCCCGCCCCGCCCCCGCCCCAAAATGGCGGCAGCCGCTCTGCCCTGCGCGCCCTTGGCCGCCTCTATGGTCGCAGCCTCCACCAATGGGCGCGGGGCGAAGGAGGACCCAGCCAATGCGAGCGCGCGGGGAGGCGGGACCGCGGTCGGCTCCGGCCAATGGGAGCGCTCGGCCGGGCGGCGGTGGCCAATGGGCGCTGAGGGGGG